CTTGGGACCTTTTACAGTTCCACAGGGCCTGTAAGATGGAGCTCTTCCACCAGGCCTTTGACTAAGGAGCCGCACCAAATAACATAAAATAACTGAGAAGTGACAGTGCCCTGGTCCTTGGCTTACCACCAACAGCCTGTGCTGTTGCCCAACTATAGAGACAAACCACCAATATAGATCATCTGATTACAACACTAGTATTGGTTCTACCTTCTGTAAGCATTGTACCTGATCACTTACTAGCACTTTATGATAATGTAGAGTTTTATTATTTGTTTTAAGATTGTATATAATTTATTACTTATATGTTTAATCTCTTTGTAAACCGCCCTGAGCCCGCTCCAGCGGGGAGGGTAGGATATAAATTGAATAAACAAATGAACTGTTTCTCAACAGTTTTCTGCACTGCATCCACAAGCATTTTCCCCCCTTGTCCTCTTCCCCCATTGCTTTCTCAACCCCTTCTAGCATGAGCTGTGCTATGTTGAATCCCACAATATCTATCACCTCTATTTTCATTGTCTCATGTTTTAATTGGTTAATTATGTTTCTACACTTTGTGGAAGATTTCACCAAATCACTTTTACTCTTAGGAAAATGGAAAAACACAAACTGCATTCACAAAAATCAAAGAAATACTGACTTTACTGACCAAATTTTTAAAAAACTGACAAATTACTGACCAAGATGAAAAAACTGACTATTACTAATTTTACTGACGATTTTCCACCCCTGTAAAGACAAGACATTTTTATATACCCTGCTTCCCCTCACCAACGTAGCATAGAATACTGTTCTCCATCTTATCCTCCCAACAACCATTCTGTGAGGTAAGTTAGGCTGAGAGAATGACTGGCCCAAGCTTTACTCAGTGAACTTCCAAGGCAGAGTGGGGATTCAGATCTGTCTCCTCCAGCTGCAAGTGGCGGAGTGGAGTATCAAACCCGGTTCTCCCAGATTAGAGTCCGCACACTTAACTAGTACTCCTCAGAGTACATAGAGTTCTTTATCCTGTCACATGAACATATGCTTTTGCCTGTTGTTTAGTTTGTCATGAGACTATGCTTGTAGATCTTTTCAAATCTATTTCCATGGATTTGCTGTCAGCTCTACACAAAGATGATGCACAAATCTGTGCCCCATGTGCTCCTGGGGCCGAATAAGGAATGCACGGTTGGGGTCCAGGGAGAGGATATCTACTACAATAATCAGGAAGATACAGGACAGGATACCTTGGCACCCAGTAACACCAAGCTGTATTCTGCCCCAACCAGGAAGGACAGTGGTCTTATACCCCAAATGACATCATGACAGTTTACACAGAAAGAAATCCTTAATTGGTGTTCAACAGGTGTCATCATCAGAGCATCATTTGAACTGGCACTTCTCTATTGGGAAACCCCTATCAGGATATTAAGTGTCAGTAATTGCGTCCGCTTATCTGGTCCTGGAACAGTGGAAAACATCAATGAACAGAGGGGCCTTCTTTTGGCATCATTCCTGGCTTATTTGCTTCAGCCTGAAACGAGGGAGTTTCCTGATGCATAAAATTTGGCAGACCTTCTGGGGCCAGATGCGCTGCTCTACACAGAAAGATATTTGTTTTGAGTCTTTCTGTCTTATAGCTTTACTTCTCAGATGTCCTTCAACTGGAGATCTTATAATTTCAAATGTACATTCCAATATATTATTTTCTGATTCTAAGAAACAGACCTTTAACCATTAAAATAATACTCTAATTAATCCTACTCTACAGCTGTCTGGGGTAAATATTAAAATCTAAATTCATTTTAATAAGACTCCTAATAAGGCACAATGATAGCTGTCATTCTACATGTCAAGAAAAATATCAAAAATCACATACATTCACTGGTCCCTTGTCCTACAAAGATACCTATCAGGTTTTACAGACCATGATAGAGACATTTTGACTCTCTTGTGGGTTTAAATCCATCCCCCAAAGTTCAGGTACTTCTTTTTCGTCTTCAAATAATTAGCATCTTTTTAAAGGCATGCCCCCATCAGCTCTACTTGCCACTTTAAAATTTTCCAGAGTTTAGCACAGAAATTGCCATTCTAGACAAGTAAAAGCCTTCTCCATATCTACAAACACATGGGTTGCCTCTTCTTTTTAATGATATGTTCTGTACAAGACCTCACCTTGTATTATTCACTAGCTCTTTCCCAATAACAGACACAGTTTGATCATATTCAATATATTTAGACATCACTGTTTTAATTGTTCAAAATACTGTAGAAAAGATTTTATAATCCACATTCAGTGGAGATTTTGGTCTATGTGCTCTAAAATATATTGGGTTATTATTAGATTGTGGAATGAGAGTAAGGGATTCTGAGGGCAGATCTAGCATTCAACCCAAGGGGTCAATACTCCATTCCATGGAGTTATGTTATTCTGCCCTAAATTAAATAAGAATCCTGTGATCAAATTACTTTACAAGTATTCCGACAGCTCAGTTAGCAAGCCTAACAGGAGATTAGATCATTATATGCCTGGAATGTATATACTGAAGATGCTACTAATTATTTTCATTCAAAAACGTGCAGCTTATCTAATGGAAGCAAAATAGAACGATCAGCACTGAAAATCAAACTGAGAACAGAGTTTACAAAATGAATTTTTATTAAATGAAAGAATCTGTTTTGTGGATCAAATATGAAATAGAATATACAAAAACTTTACATCTGTTCATTCAAAGAAATAAAATGTTACCTAGAATGAGCTAACAGCCATTCCTTCCAAAACAACACAAAATGGATAAATATTTTTAATGGCAGTACAAGAATGCACAGAGAAGCCTGTGCTAGAACTGCAGCTTATAGAGAAGCAAAGTTAAAAATCTAAATGTCTCCTAAAGGGTACAACAAATCCACAAAGTAACTTAAAAACATGGAAATCAATCATCTTATATTCTCTTACAAGCAAGTGGCAGAAAGATCAAGTGCAGAGTTCACAAAGCTTGCATATCACATTCTCAGTTCCTATACAAATATAAATTGTTCTTTTTATTTTAAAAAAATCTTCTCTATTTGATAACATCTCACTATGAAGAAAACATATCCAATCAGGATCGCTTTACCTCTTCCATGCAATATTATTTGTTAGGTGGTCTTTTCCCCCAAAGCTTGGTTTCCAAAGCTATCATGGCAACATTCTTCAAATTTTCAATTGCAAATCTTTGTGTAGCTCTGTTTTATAAAGTTCTCCAGAGTTCAAAACATGTCTTTGGCATAACATACCAAGTTCCCCTTTAATACTTCTCTTTTTTTAAAAAAAGTATATGTTCCTTTAGTAAAACTCCTTAAAAACATCTATTTCAGTTTTGTAAAATAATGCATCACCTCCTCCTATGTCACTTTGTAAAATATACACCATATTTTTGAGGGAGGGACTGCCCTCGGTGAGTACTGACATGGGGCCTATTGGAATTCTGACTGGTTACAGAAAGAAAGACGTAATTACAAACTCCCTTGCACATGTAAGTCACATAAAGTCATTCAGTTCAGCTTCCAGTGCTGCTGCCATTTCATCTGCCTCTGAACTGCTGCCCTCCTCATCTTCAATGCTGGACCCTTTGCTTGATTCACTGGCGGCATCATCTTCATCCAGCTTTCGTTTGTGGCCCCTGCAAAAATGGACAATCACAGCTAAAATATTAAAAATGTCACCAAAATATATTTAAAAAAATACTGAAGCATGAATATATAAGCTAAGCATGAATATATAAGACAACGGTTGCATGGAGAAGTGAAAATTAAAGTCACCTAGGCCAAAAATTGTGAGGCCCTCATTTGCCATCTCTCTCACTCCCAGAAGATGTACAATTTAATACGCAAGTATGGGAAGAGTAATCCTGGATTTTTCAGAACAACTTGGGTTGGGGGGTCTTTGTTCCTCTTACACCTGCTCCCCAAAGATGCTGCCAATAACTTTAGTTACCAGTGATGGATATAAAGGGATTGTATATTCATCAAATGAAAATCTCTTGCAGTATTGTAATACACTGGAAGGTCTCCCATGAAAAGAAAAGAAAAACGTTTTACTTTCTTTCTTATAGACTATAATTTCTTCTACCTTCAAGGAGTTCTCTTTCTACACACTTTGCAGCAAAATATTCTATTATCACACCTTGTCCTATATTGGACAATTAGTCAGAAGCTGTAATTGACAATCAGCTTCAGAGAGAACAGACCTTGGGCTGTATCCTACAGCTCCCTTTATCCAACAGAGCAAGAGTCCTCACTCGGAAAGGATTCATAGGACAAATTGTTGTTCTTTGTTTTTATTTCAGAGGGTACAATTACTTCTGTATATTTGAATTAGTTCTGCTACTCTGCATAAGCATGTGTTTATTCTCAGATGGTAGGAACACTAGTCATTTATAGGTGCAACTATGGCTAGGTCAATCGCGGCTGCAAAGAATACCACTAAGCTATTATTAAAGAATATATGGACAGGCACTAAAAAACCCTCTTGCCAAAACAAAAACAAACCTCCATGCCATTATGGTGCTCATCATTCTTTCCAGTATTTCCAACTCTGACACCCCAATAACATTACATTAACGTTCAAAGAGCTAACAATACATTATCCCTAATGTATTAACTAGAAATGTTATTGAAAATTAATTTACATAACTGAGACCTGAAAAAATAATATAGATGAAGCCAAATATTTCTAATATTTGAATTTGAGATGGCTGCTACAGTAAGAATACTGATATTACTTTCCAATACAAGAGTTTGATTCCACTTGTGGTGGTTACAGAAGGCTATCTCTACCAATTTTGCAACTTGAGTATGAATTCTTCTGGATCCAATTCACTGCTAATTAATGAGCCATACAGATGCCAAGGTACAAGTAACACTACTTAATGTTCCAAGACAGTAGACTGTTGTCTTTCCAATATAAAATGAAATTCAGAGAGGTTGTACATAAACTATGTTTCTGGTACACTGATACAAGAGAGGGAAAATCATACAATGATATTTGTTCTCACACTAAATAGCTGCAAACAGTAAAGGCTAATTAAATGTTAGAGATGACTCCCATGAACGGTAAAGCACCAAGATGGATTTTCTTCCTATTTTCCCAGCAGCCCTCTACAATCTCTCTACAAGCCAGACTGGAGTATCCTTGCAGGTAAAATGCTAAGCATCAAGAGCCCTGTATTAAGAAGGGGGAATTATTAGAAATCACCCTCCCTCTTTCTCTAGAACCATCAACATTATGGTTTGCAAACAGCTCACGAGTTGCCATTCACACAGCTGAACATGTAACAAAAGCTTGAATACAAGCAGCCTGCATCTGTTCTCAACTGTGTAAAAAAGGCGGTGTGAATTCACATACTATTTTCCTGTGGTCCCCCCCTCTTCTGTTGCACACCACATTAAGTATATTTACATTTCACAATGAGTGACTTACAGATGTGAGGACTCTCTCACACTATCAGTTTGCAGAAGCACAGCTCCAAGACTACAAACTTGAAATTAATCAAGGCTTCCTTAGCAGAGGAGGTGTGCATGTTCATAACACACTGGGGGGGGGGGAGAGGAAAGTGTCTTAGATGTGAAGAACAAAGGGGATGGAGAAGAGGTAGGATTGCTGCCAATTATGCAGGCACAGAAGTAGCACATATAACCCAACATGGTTGCTTTTGATGTACAATAAACCCAGAATGCATGATCAGCAGTTACCTAGCTGCCATGCTGAATGCAGCTACTGGTACAGATGAAAAATTGCTTACAATATTGGTTGCAAGCCAACCTTCAAAGTTATCAAATTAGACTTGACCCAAGAAAGAAGACATTTCAAAGGTTAGTTTGCATATCAGCAACAATTGTTATGGAGCTTCAAGCACCCCTGGACTAGCCCGTGCTCCCAAGTTTGTACAATCGATAGACAAGTTTACTGCTTCTGTCCTTCCGCCACCTGAAAAATGCTGTAATGCTTGAATGGGAAATGAGAGTCTACGCATACGCATTATGTACTCAGCAGCAAATGGCTGCATATATGTATGGTCTTACTTTCAAATCCTTCAGGTGTTCACTGCAATATCCTAACAGACAAGGAACAAACTTGCTCGCTGCATAAAGGGTGAATTGGCCCTAATACCCTTTAACTCCTTCACAGTGGTTAGCTAGTCAGCAGCACCTGGTGGAAGTTATGCCATAGTTACACAATGTATATTAGCCTTAATGACCAATGGTAAAAAACACATTAATGAAAATGGATTTTTAAATACGTTTTCTGAATTGTTACTATCCAAATACACATCCTAATCTGGAATACAGAAATGGCTGTGCACAACTGGTGAAAATATATTTGGAATTCCATGAAGAAGTGTTTTGTTTGGGGGGTGGGATGATTGCAGCAAGAAAAGGCTAGAAGGAATAAGTGCCATCCTACCCCATACTCAGCCCCGCCCCACCATGTAGGACTCAATAAAAGCAGCTGCCTAGATCAGTCATGTGTTTCCACATGATGTATAGTTCTACCTATTGCTTCTTTTGCATATTTTGCAAGGTGTTGTACATACTAAGGCATCAAACACTTCTGAATGCCTGGAATGAATGAAACAGCTGACTTTGGTTCTTCCCATCATGTCAAGTTACTTCCTGGAATCCCAAATCCAACAAAGTATCCAGAATTGTTCTGTAAAATTATTCTTGACTAAGAAAAAAGCCCGTTGTGGAAATAAATACAACGGCTCTAGAAAGAGGCTTTGGGAGAGTGCCCCAGCCTTGGGCATGCAGTATCAATTTGCTGTGGCAACCTCAGCAGGGTATAATGACACAGAGGCCACCATTTTCTCCAGAGGAACTGAACTCTGCTACCTGAAGAGCAGTTGTAATATTGAGTGATCTCCCCCCCTCACCTGGACATTGGCAACAATGGTTCCCCAGGAGGAAATGGCTGGTTTGGAGGGTGGAGTCTATGGCATTGTACCTGTCTGAGGTCCCACCCCTCCTCAAACCCCACTCTCTCCAGTCTCCACCCCTCAAAACTCCAGGAATTTCCCAACCTGGAGTTGGCAACTCTATCTCCTTCCCAGCCAAGCGTCAAGCTGCTGTTATCTGCCCCTCACTCTTCAGCTTTCCATCCCCCCACCTTAAGCCTCAACCGTGCTCTGAAGCCCTGACTGCTACGTCACATTGGCTTCTCAGCAGAATGTAAGGACACAGTCCACCATTTTCTCCAGGGGAACTGATCTCTGCCATCTGGAGAGCAGTTGTAATTCTGAGTGATCTCCAGCCCTCACATGGAGATTGGCAACAATGGTTCCCCAGGAGAAAAAGTGCAGGCTTTCTCTGAAATGGGGACCAAAGCAACTTACATCCTCCTCCTCTCCCCCTTTTGACTTGCACAACAATCCTGTTTTACTGATAGAACCAAGCTTGATTGCCTAGCAATTTTCACAGTTCATTCTGACAGGAAAGTGGCCAAGATGGCAGGGGGCGGGGGAGGGGGTTACGCTGAAAGTCTGTGACTGGTCCGAAATCACAGCTTCCACAGCAAGAACCTGGGTCTGGCAGACCCTGCTCTGAAGCACTAACTGCTACGCCTAGGCTAGCCAACCTCCAGGTGGAGCCTGAAGATCGTCAGGTATCACAACTGAACTCCAGACAACAGATCCCCCCCCCCCGGAGAAAATAACTGCTTTGGAGGGTGGACTCTATGGCATTCTGTTCAGCTGAGGCCTCTCCCCTCCCCAAACTCTGACTTCCTTAGACACAGAATATCCAGGAATTTCCCAACCTGGAGCTGGGAACCCTAGTCAGGACTGGCCCCAATGAGTTCCTCACAAGGCCTGGAAAGGGTTTCCTTCCTTTGTCTTTTTACTGACAGAACCAAGCTTGGTTGTCTACCAACAGCCACTGAGGGAAAAGTTAATCCCACAGAGAAGCCAAGCAGGAGAAATGTCTTTGTCAGGGGAGCCGTTTGCCAGTTATTCTGACAGGGAACAGTGGCTGAAGTGGGAGTGGAAGAGGAACAGACCCAGCCCCCAGCCAATGGCATGTGAGTACTCTTGAGTGGTGGCTGATGGGCCAATGGCTGATGGAGCGTGTGGCAACCTCCTATTGGGGAGGACTAGATTTCACTTTAAATTATACTTTATGTTTATAAAATAGGTAGTTCCGGCTGCCACCAGGAATTTTCTTTAATTCCAAATCCCCTCTCTGCTTCTGGTTTAGGTATTGTGATCCAGGGTCTTGGCTTTCGAGGATCTATGTGGAAATGTCGCCATAAACCGGAAGTCATATATGGCTAGATTTGAGCCCAGTAATACCTTAGAGACTCACAAGATATTCCCGGAACAAAGTTTGAGTCCAGTGGCACCTTTAACATCAACTAAGCTTTTGTATGCAAGAACGCTTCCTCAGATACAGTAGACTTTTGGGGTAAGAGCTTTCAAGAGTCAAAGCTCCCTTTGTCAGATATGAGCTTGGACTCTTGAAAATACATACCCCGGAAATCTTGTTCGTCTCTATGGTACTACTAGACTCAAATCTAGCTCTTCTACTGAAGACCAACATGACTACCCTCTGAAACTATCCACATATATGGTTTCATATGCTTGGAAATATATTCCTGCTATCTTCAATTTCTCATGATTTTTTTTAG